CAGAAAGAGCAGTGTCTGGAGGAGGACCACAGGAGTAAGGAGTCTTCTGAATACTGAGGCCTGCGGTGGCAGAGACAAGGGAGTGCTGTGTCTGTACAGAGACTCGCATCTTTAGAGGAGCTCTGTGTCCTCTCTGCTGCTGACTGCTGGGATGGACAAGCCTCTTCATGGCTGCATTAAGAAGCACAGGATCTGGTGGAGAAGTTCTGCCCTCCTCTCTGCTGCCGACTGCTGAGACAAGGTGGGGCAGAGACAAGGGAGAGGGGAGGAGTGCTGCAGCAGCAGGAGAGGTGCTAGGGCCACATGAAATGCCCTGGTGGGCCATATTCCATGTTTTTGACACAAGTGCTCTATCTACTGGCCAAATGCTGTATTTTACTATTTAAATTAAAAAAATATTTGTCCATCACAGCAGACAGTATATTAATATTGATCTGTTACAATGTTCACAGAGAACACGTACAAAACTTGAACTGCATGAACTTCTATGCAAATGTTTGATAACCAATATAATGGATAATAATTTTAGATATAATGCTCCCTAATGTATCCTTTTTTTTTAGGCTTTTGTTCCAATGTTGAATAGGACTTTAAAGTTCAGTACTTTGGAACAAAACCCCCAAAAGTACAACACATTTTAATTTATCAATACAGAAAATATATAAGACAACTGCAAAACAATCTTCTGTGCTCAAGTGTGGCAACAATGTAATGGGAAGATACTCTCTACTGCATGTATCTAAAGTCCATGGACGTGGTCTTGGTCCTCAAAGATGCACTGAGCCCTGCTGCCCTCCCCAAGCCATGGTAATCTGTAAGCACTAGAGCACCAGTCCAGTGTGTTAAGGAACAATAAATGAAATATGTGTTGTGTTTATTCATTATATTCTATTCTTTTATTCATTTTGACCTTTTATTCATTGTTTTGCAGCCCTGATGGAGGCGGAGTTTTTTCCTCCTGAAACATGTTGGCTGTCTACGTTTGCTGAAATTATGAATAATAAAAGGCTTCTCTGGACTCTTTCAGTTTTGGTCTGGTGATTGTTATTTCTATAATTTGCTTTACTTTTATACTTTGGGATGCCCCTGAAAGAAGGGGGAGGGGCAGTTTTATAGCTGACTTACCAAGCCAGTAAATGTACTTGCAAACCTTCCTGCATTTTGAACAAACATCAAACACCCAGCACTAAGCTGAAGCCCCTTTCACGGCTCCTTAGAAATCTATGCATTTGCTGTGCTTTTCTATGCATGGGAGGGCATATTCTGTTGGTTATTTTTAGGGAGAGAACAGGATAGAGTTCTGTTTGTAGGAGGTTCAATCATCTCAGCAAACAAATTGGCTAAGCCCGAACCCCAATATGATCTATGGGAGTGTTAGGACCAGGACCTGAACCCATGACCTCTGTTGCATCGGGCAGTAGATTTTCATGCTGAGCCACCTAAGATACTGGGCAGCTCTTCGCATGCTTCCTTAGGTAAAAGTACTTTCTATCTTGTTTCTTGGGAGCCTTGAACTCCTTGCTCCTCCCACATTCTTCCTATTTAGGCCATGCCTTTGCACTTCCTGTTTGCCAGATGATTGTGCTCTTCTCCAGCCAATATCTTGCTCCTTTTGCTCCTGCTGCTGTCCGTATCTTTACTACAACTCATTACTGACCTTAGCTTGTTCCTCGGCTACACTTCTGCTTGAATCCAATCTGCAACCACTTGTTACTGACCTTCGGTTACTTTCTCACTAGTCTTCTACTTGATCCTTACCTGCTATATCTGCTACTGAACCCCAGCTTGCTCATCTCCTGGTGGGGCGATCTTGAGGACCACAACCTGGTACTAACGCACAGTCAAACTATCTCCACCATCAGGAGTTCTGGGGGAAACAAGTTAGTGCTTAGATCCTGTGTCTCTGGTGAGCCCGTATCATCTGCCAGGGTGACCTGCTTGTTTACTTATCTGCTTTAAAGAGTAACTCCACTTTTGTGGAGAAAAAAAAATAACCCTCTGGGTGACCTGTGCACATTGCAGCTACATTGCACACTTTGTTGAAGATTTCTACATTTTGTTATTCTGAAGAAAGGGATGTTTGTTTTTCTGTGTCCATGTGCAAAGTGAATCTGTATGGGAGTGACTTCATAATTATCAATCAGCTGCTGTACCTGCAGAACTCTAATGAGGAAAGTGGCAGGGTCTGCATCCCTTTAGATGTGAATTCCCTTTGGGAGAATCTCACCAAAAATGACATTTTTGTTGCAGGGGATGCCCAAAATCTGACTTGAATCTTATAGCAGACTTCTGGGAAAATCAGTGAACCAATCACACAAGCAGGAAATTACATGCCCGGGGGCGTTTCTATATACTATCTGTGTAGGAACGCATCCAGGTTGTCATACTGAATTTGAAACAAAATTACAGCTGCTGCAGATTGATAATAGCATTCGATTTAAATATGACTTCTGTTGCAATTGTATTTGAGATATATATATATATATATATATATATATATATACAGTCAGGTCCATAAATATTGGGACGTCGACACAATTCTAACATTTTTGGCTCTATACACCACCACAATGGATCTGAAATGAAACAAACAAGATGTGCTTTAACTGCAGACTGTCAGCTTTAATTTGAGGGTATTTACATCCAAATCAGGTGAACGGTGTAGGAATTACAACAATTTGCATATGTGCCTCCCACGTGTTAAGGGACCAAAAGTAATGGGACAGAATAATAATCATAAATCAAACTTTCACTTTTTAATACTTGGTTGCAAATCCTTTGCAGTCAATTACAGCCTGCAGTGTGGAACGCATAGACATCCCCAGACGCTGGGTTCCATCCCTGGTGATGCTCTGCCAGGCCTCTACTGCAACTGTCTTCAGTTCCTGCTTGTTCTTGGGGCATTTTCCCTTCAGTTTTGTCTTCAGCAAGTGAAATGCTCAATCGGATTCAGGTCAGGTGATGGACTTGGCCATTGCAGAACATTCCACTTCTTTCCCTTAAAAAACTCTTTGGTTGCTTTTGCAGTCTGCTTTGGGTCATTGTCCATCTGCACTGTGAAGCGTCCAATGAGTTGTGAAGCATTTGGCTGAATATGAGCCGATAATATTCCCGATACACTTCAGAATTCATCTGGCTGCTTCTGTCAGCAGTCACATCATCATATAAATACAAGAGAAGCAGTTCCATTGGCAGCCATACATGCCCACGCCATGACACTACCACCACCATGCTTCACTGATGAGGTGGTATGCTTAGGATCATGAGCAGTTCCTTCTCCATCCTCTTCTCTTCCCATCACTCTGGTACAAGTTGATGTCGGTCTCATCTGTCCATAGGATGTTGTTCCAGAACTGTGAAGGCTTTTTTAGATGTCGTTTGGCAAACTCTAATCTGGCCTTCCTGTTTTTGAGGCTCACCAATGGTTTCCATCTTGTGGTGAACCCTCTGTATTCACTCTGGTGAAGTCTTCTCTTGATTGGTGACTTTGACACACATACACCTACCTCCTGGAGGGTGTTCTTGATCTGGCCAACTGTTGTGAAGGGTGTTTTCTTCACCAGGGAAAGAATTCTTCGCTCATCCACCACAGTTGTTTTCTGTGGTCTTCCAGGTCTTTTGGTGTTGCTGAGCTCACCGGTGCGTTCCTTCTTTTTAAGAATGTTCCAAACAGTTGTTTTGGCCACGCCTAATGTTTTTTCTATCTCTCTGATGGGTTTGTTTGTTTTTTTCAGCCTAATGATGGCTTGCTTCACTGATAGTGACAGCTCTTTGGATCTCATCTTGAGAGTTGACAGCAACAGATTCCAAATGCAAATAGCACACTTGAAATGAACTCTGGACCTTTTATCTGCTCATTGTAATTGGGATAATGAGGGAATAACACACACCTGGCCATGGAACAGCTGAGAAGCCAATTGTCCCATTACTTTTGGTCCCTTAACAAGTGGGAGGCACATATGCAAACTGTTGTAATTCCTACACCGTTCACCTGATTTGGATGTAAATACCCTCAAATTAAAGCTGACAGTCTGCAGTTAAAGCACACCTTGTTTGTTTCATTTCAAATCCATTGTGGTGGTGTATAAAGCCAAAAATGTTAGATTTGTGTCGATGTCCCAATATTTATGGACCTGACTGTATATATAGTTGCTGATTTTTTTCCCATAAGAACATGGAGGTACCCTTTGAATAACCTGGTTGGAGGATATCTTATACCTACATGTGAAGTTGCAGAGTAGTAGGACGTACACCTTTATAAGTGACTTATTTTTACATACAGTGGCCAGGGAACTGCCATTTATCAGTGGTAGCACTTCCTGCTCTAAATGACAGATCCCTGCCAGATAAACTAATGGGCCGGGGGATCCTGGGTGACGTCACGGATCAAATATGATCAAAACTGCTTATTGCAGAATAGGAGGGTTTAGCTCAGGGGTGGGCAAACTTTTTGACTTGAGGGCCGCAATGATTACATTCATCCTGGCTTATTGCAGAATAGGAGGGTTTAGCTCAGGGGTGGGCAAACTTTTTGACTTGAGGGCCGCAATGGGTTCATATATTGGGGCCGGACCAAGAGTAGATGAATGATGTGTATGTGTCATCCATAGTAAGCATAGTAATTAATCCCCCATATAGTAATTCATCCCCCATATAGTAATTCATCCCCATAGTAATTCATCCCCCATATAGTAATTCATCCCCCATAGTAATTCATCCCCCATAGTAATTCATCCCCCATAGTAATTCATCCCCCATAGTAATTCATCCCCCATATAGTAATTCATCCCCCATATTAAGTCCCCAAGTCCCCCCTGTGTCAATTCACTTACCTTTGCTCCGCGCGTTCCTCTCGCCGTGTTCCCGCGCCGTTCCAGTGTAGCATGAAAATCTGTCTCCTATGAGGATCTGTCCCCCTCGACGTATCTGCGCATGTGCCAGTTTCAGGCATTAGCAGCCGATCGGCGATCTCCGGCACATGCGCAGATACGTCGAGGGGGACAGATCCTCATAGGAGACAGATTTTCATGCTACACTGGTCTTCAGGGCAGACTGTGAGAGGAGCCTAGCGGGAGCCTAGCTCTGCGGGCCGGATTAAAAAGTCTACCGGGCCGTATACGGCCCGCGGGCCGTAGTTTGCCCATTGCTGGTTTAGCTGCATATCGAGTTACACACAGAGAAATGTGTAGCAAGGACAAAACACAGACATTCTACAGGAGATGGTCAGAGATTGCATACTACAGGAGATGGTCAGAGACTGCAGACAGATATACTGCAGGAGATGATCAGAAACTGCAGACATAGTACAGGAGAAGGTCAGAGACTGCAGACAGACAACAGGAGATAGTCAGAGATTGCAGACATGCTGCAGGAGATGGTCAGAGACTGCAGACAGACAACAGGAGATAGTCAGAGATTGCAGACATACTACAGGAGATGGTCAGAGATTGCGGACAGACTACAGGAGATGGTCAGAGACTGCAGACAGACTACAGGAGGTGGTCAGAGACTGCAGACAGACTACAAGAGATGGTCATAGATTGCAGACATGCTGCAGGAGATGGTCAGAGATTGCAGACAGACTACAGGTGGCAGGGTCTGCATTCCTTTAATGTTAATTCCCTTTAGGAGTATCTCACCCAAAATGACATTCTGGGGATATCAATGAACCAATCACACAAGCAGGAATTTACATACCCGGGAGGCGTTCTGTCTATACTATCTGTGTACAGAACTCCTCCAGGTTGCCATATTGAATTTTACAGAAATTTACGGCATCTGCAGATTGATGAGGAAAGGGAATTTTAATGGCATTCGATTTAAATATGACTTGTGTCACAATTGTATTGGCTATATATATACAGTATATATATATATATATATATATATATTAATTTGCTATTTCTCCCCCAAGAACGTAGAGGTTCCTTATAAATAACCTGGTTGGAGGATATCTTCCACCTACATGTGAAGTTGCAGAGTAGTAGGACGTACAACCTTTATAAGTGACTTCTTTTTACAAACAGTGGCCAGGGAACTGCCATTTATCAGTGGTAGCACTTCCTGCTCTAAATGACAGATCCCTGCCAGATAAACAAATGGGCCGGGGATCCTGGGTGACGTCACGGATCAAATATGATCAAAACTGCAAAACTCAACATAATTCCTCTAAAAAAAGCCCTACAGATCAAATAACCAACATTCCTCACCTCGGATATAAATCTCCAGATTACAGAGAAGAAAGACATCTGAAAGACAAAAGGAGAAATATATATATAACAACTCATGTTCAATATGTTCCAGCAGATACTAAATGTTCTCCAAATATTAGAGAGCTGCAACCTGATAGAAATGTGAGGCTAGAATCATGTTCCATGGAGGTGGATAACAACCCCCCCCCCCCACACACACACACACACACACACTTTCCCCGGGGAGGATCTTCTGCAGATCTTCCATTTCTGATCTGTTGGTGGAGTGAGTTCTGTTACTGAGAAGACACCAAACTGTGACCCCAATTATTACAATGTAGCAGCCCCAGGGCTACATAGAGACCCCATTTGTTTTTCTTGATATGAGATATGAAGAGATCCCTGTACAGATTTATCACCAGTAACTCAACCATAAGTTTAGATCGCTGAGGGTCAACTTACTTGAAGTAGAGGGCTTCAAATATGGTCCCTGACATCACCAAAGGGCCACAGATAATATTCAGTAAATGTAGCTTTACTAAGAACTGTCAGAGACTGCAGACTGTTCTGCCTTCAGCAGGGAAATTCATTATGTTTGTCCTCCCTGTAATATTAAGTGTGGCCACTGGTGGAGCCCAAATTAAATTTACTGTCTTGCAGAAACTGTTTAGGTAATAAAAGCTCCCATCATCCTTCATTTTAATAAATGGAAACGGGTGCATCTTGGAAGCTCAGACTCTACCTTAAGAACTGAGGCAGAGGAAATCAGCCATCATCCCTGATGCACATGTTGTGGAATGAACTTACAACCCCTGCAGGCAGCATCGCAAGAGAGCATGGACCTACTGCCAACCGCAACCTACTTATTTCATGTGTATTGTATGTTTCATACATTGATTGCATGCATTTCTCATGTTTTTTTTTCCCAATAGTTTTCCCCACATTGTTTTGTCAGAAAGCTTCAAGATTACATTCATCCTGGCTTATTGCAGAATAGGAGGGTTTAGCTGCATATCGAGTTACACACAGGGAAATGTGTAGCGAGGACAAAACACAGACATTCTATAGGAGATTTTCAGAGATTGCAGACATACTACAGGAGATGGTCAGAGACTGCAGACATAGTACAGGAGATGGTCAGAGACTGCAGACATAGTACAGGAGATGGTCAGAGCTGCAGTCAGACTACAGGAGATGGTCAGAGACTGCAGATATACTACAGGAGATGGTCAGAGACTGCAGAAATACTACAGGAGATGGTCAGAGACTGCAGATATACTACAGGAGATGGTAAGAGACTGCAGACAGATATACTGAAGGAGATGATCAGAAACTGCAGACATGCTACAGGAGAAGGTCAGAGACTGCAGACATATTACAGGAGATGGTCAGAGACTGCAGACATACTACAAGAGATGGTCAGAGACTGCAGATATACTACAGGAGATGGTCAGAGACTGCAGACATACTACAGGAGATGGTCAGAGATTGCAGACACAGTACAGGAGATGGTCAGAGACTGCAGACATAGTACAGGAGATGGTCAGAGACTGCAGACAGACTACAAGAGATGGTCATAGATTGCAGACATGCTGCAGGAGATAGTCAGTGATTGCAGACAGACTACAGGTGGCAGGGTCTGCATTCCTCTAATGTTAATTCCCTTTGGGAGTATCTCACCCAAAATGGCATTCTGGGGATATCAATGAACCAATCACACAAGCAGGAATTTACATACCTGGAGGGCTTTCTGTATACTATCTGTGTACAGAACTCCTCCAGGTTTCCATAATGAATTTTACAGAAATTTACGGCATCTGCAGATTGACAAGGAAAGGGAATTTTAATGCCATTCGATTTAAATATGACTTGTGTCACAATTGTATTGGCTATATATATACAGTCAGGTCCATAAATATTGGGACATGGACACAATTCTAACATTTTTGGCTCTATACACCACCACAATGGATTTGAAATGAAACTAACAAGATGTGCTTTAACTGCAGACTGTCAGCTTTAATTTGAGGGTATTTACATCCACATCAGGTGAACGGTGTAGGAAATACAACAGTTTGCATATGTGCCTCCCACTTGTTAAGGGACCAAAAGTAATGGAACAGAATAATAATCATAAATCAAACTTTCACTATTTAATACTTGGTTGCAAATCCTTTGCAGTCAATTACAGCCTGAAGTGTGGAACGCATAGACATCACCAGACGCTGGGTTTCATCCCTGGTGATGCTCTGCCAGGCCTCTACTGCAACTGTCTTCAGTTCCTGCTTGTTCTTGGGGCATTTTCCCTTCAGTTTTGTCTTCAGCAAGTGAAATGCTCAATCGGATTCAGGTCAGGTGATGGACTTGGCCATTGCAGAACATTCCACTTCTTTGGTTGCTTTTGCAGTCTGCTTTGGGTCAGTTAAAGCACATCTTGTTTGTTTCATTTCAAATCCATTGTGGTGATGTAT